CTGCGGGAGGCGGTGAGGCGGCGGCCGGCGAGCTCCGGAGCCCAAGGAGGCCTTGGCGGCCTTTTCTCCCTGAGGCGGGTCCCTTCCCTCAGGCCGCCATCTTCCCCGAGGTGACTCCCCTCCCTCAGGCGGCCCTTTCTCCCTGAGGCCTCCTCGCCCTAAAACGTGCCTCAAAAAAGTCGGTAAAATTTCAAAGTTGTAGCTGGGGCAGACTGACCACCGCCTGCGGCTCCAGTCAGAGAAAGCCTGGGTGCTGAAGTGGTTTTAAAAAGTGCCGGTCAAGCCCCAGAAGGGTCTGTGGGGAAAGGTGGTGTCGGCTCTGAACTGTGCTGGAAACAGCCCTTGGCTTTTGGGCCGGAGAGGGCTGTGTGTACCTGTGTGTAATAGATAACACACACAGATAGGTCGTTTTCAAGGTACACGGTCAGGCTCAGGTGAATTTCCATGGCAATAGGGAGTGGAGAGAAAACACAAAAACTTCTCAGTGAATAGGTTAAGCTTTTACCTCGTAGCTGGCAAAATCATGCCAGTCTGCAGGGTCAGGAGAAAAAAAAGTCTGTACAAGGGCTGAGGAACAAACGCAAGGTTACAGGGAGAGTGTTTGGGGATCAGCCACACCTACAGTCAGAGATGTGAGTACTGATGAGAAAAATTACACCCTCAATGGTTGCAAGACTAATCCCAGAACTCACTTTCTTCAGATCAACAACCTTCCCTCTCAGTTAGTTACTTCAGCAGCTCTCCCCTCGTACTTTCAGCCACAGGGTTTGGTTCCTGCAGTATATCGAGGCCTGTGCCTTCGTAGCAGTGACGCTTCGTTTGTCCACGGTTCATCTGACTCTTGGTTGGTTTGTTTGCAGCCAGAGCCCGGAGTGAAGCCTCCTTCCAGTGAGGGGGAAGATGTGCAGATTCCCCCAAAGCTGGTGGTGTTTGTGTTCCTGCAACCAGATACCGTGGAACAGGTTAGCAGCTTTGGTATTTAATTTTCAATTATAGTCTGATTGGTGTGTTTTCAACAGAAAGCATCTATGTTCCTTTATATGTACAAAAGAAATAAAATTTTCTGTGCTAGCCATGGCAGATTTCTCATATTTTTTGTTCTTTTGAACCAAGTAAAAATCCTGATAAATATCCAAAAATATCTTTTTTTTTAAAAAAAAAAAATCTCCATGGTATGCAAAACTTCATAAAAACTTTCTAATATTCTATCTGTTGCTAGCTCACAGTTAGAAACACATTGACCAGTATTGCAAGATGGTCACGTTTGAATAAATGGGTACTGGTTCAGGTTTGTTATGGGCATCACTCGAGCCACGAAAGTTAACCAGCTTGTATCAGCAGGATCCGGACATAGCAAGTAAAACCTGAGGAACTGAACGGGGAATTAATGTAACGTGAATACAAATTCAGTAAAGCTCATCTAGAAACTGCATGAGACGGACTTGTCCACGCGGTGGCATCGTATGTTTAGAAAGTTAGCTGTGCAGCCTACACCGAGTGCTTCAACACTGGTGACAGCGTGTTTAGGTTCCCACGTTTATAGACTGCGTGTGTGTAGAAGCAGAAGCTCCTATATGAAATTATTTTCATCTCTTTCACATTAACTCTGCAAACATAATATGGACCATAAGGACAAAACGCTGTTCTTGGTGAAGCTCCTTCCCTCTGCTACATAAGCAGGTCCTGGAAAAAGTCTGCTGGGATGGTTTGGTTTGTATCAGTACTGATGAATTTCCAGTTGATGCTTAAGGAGAAAAATGAAACATACAGAATAAAGACCCCAAAGCTTTTGAATTCAAGTTAAGTTTTTCTTCTTTAATTTATCTTTAAAGGCTAATGCTTCTGTGTATATACCGTTTCACATGCAATTGGACTGGTTTGGGGTTATTTTAAGGATTGCATTTACCCTGTAGCTGAGTCTCTAGGATATCTTTTCAATCTGAAAATACAGGACTAGAGATTTTAATCCAAGTGACCTTGCACTAAGACTGACTGGCAGACTGACTGACTGGTATCATTTTTACAAACATATGGTGATTTCATGACTAATGAGCTAACTAACTAACAAACTAATGAGCTCAGAACCAGTCAAAAGCTACTGAAGGGTACCTGGCCTTCCTTAGCTCCAAGCATCTGCTTTTGCAAGGAAGACATGTGCTGCTTTGCCCTTTTCCTTCAAGTCTTGCCCATTTGTAAGGAGCTGTGGGTTTATTTGCCCTGCCTGTCAATCTGAACTGAGCTCCCTGCAGCTACTGGATGGCATTTTGACACCTGCCTGTAACACTCGGCTGTAATCTGCAGAGTAGACATACTCTTAAAGCCACAAAATACTAACACTAAATCGCATAGATTATGCTCCTACTGTGAGGGAATTTCCAGGTCACTGGCTAAAACCCTTATTGTGCTTAGTGTCTATAAAGTTAAACTAGAAACCTAGTCAATAAGGGTAATAGTTTGCAACTCTTTAAATGACTAGTCACTTCCTCACGTGTATTTTCAGATGCTCTAGCTGAGGTAGATAGGCATCTCAAATCACTTTGTTTCTGCCAGTTAGAAAGAGAGAATATACTAATAAGCCTTTTAAGGACATTCAACAATATAATCGTATTAGAAAAAAAAAAAAAAAGAGGAAGAAGACCCAAGAGGGTTCTGGAAACAATTGTGGCTAATTTTGTGAGCTAGTGATAGACGTGTATTGGTTTGCAGAGTGCAAAACCAAACCCACAAAGCCCTCAACTATTTTACTTGAAACACTCTATATTTTTGACTTGCATAAAATGAAGAAGGTTTGGTTTTATTAGTTTGCCAAGATTATAGAAAATCGAAATGGCCATAGTTCCAGATAATTCTAATAATGCTCTTTTTCAGTTAAAGGAAGTTATTGCAAGGTAACCACCTAGAATGTAAATGATGAGCAGCTGTGTGTTTATATCAAGCACATCTGTTTTACCTAGATTATCTTTTAATTTCTTTAAAATTATTTTTTTCCTATCTTGAGTTAGAACAGAGAGAAATTTTGCTGCTCAGCAGTCTTGTATACCTATGTTAAGGTTGTTACCCTCTGGCAGCAGTGATGCAGAGAATCATTCTGATTCGCCTTTGATATGATACACACCTTCCAGTATGTTCTTATTAAAGGCCAGCTGAGAACAGGACCCCACTGTGCCAAAGACTATGCAGAGAGAGAGATACAGATGATTTCTGTTCCAAAGAGCTTATAATTAACTGCATTCACACATGCAGTGAGCAGAAAACCAGCACTCTCAGGCCACAGGCATCAGAGAATTTAGTGAAATCCGAAGAATGGTGATATCACATCAGTGGTGCTTTTCAGCAGGGTATTTTGGGGGTATATTCCCCTTTTGGGAAGGGGAGATTGGGGCTATATTAAAAAAAAAAAAAAGCCATTGGGCTTCAAAAATCTCTTCCTGCTTGTATAGATAAGGAGTATCTTAAGTCACATGGAGGAAACACATTTGATACTTAACTTCCTAGTTATTACTCAGCATTTTACTTACATTTTACTGCAGAACTCTGGCCCTTGCAAACGAGGTCAAACGTGAACTCTTGCCAGTGGAGTTAAATTATAAAAGACCCTTTGTTGGTGTTTTAGGGAACACAAAAGTCATTTCTAGTGCCATCAGTTCTGTGTTTCCTGTTTTGGTGTAGACTTGAATGCTTACAAGGCATCTACAGTCACAGTAAGTGGAATCCTGCAAAAATATTGATATCTGATGGAACTAGTTGTAGGCTCTGCCTGCTCATCGTCCTGGAGTGTGACCTCAGCACAAAACTCCTTTGACTTTAAAAGGTGTAGTCCTTTTAACCTACATCCTGATGCCCTTTTATATATGTTTTATTCAACTCTGCATTTAATTGGCTGCTTTGACAGCTATAAACTTGCAGTTACTTACTTGATTTGTCTCCTGGCTTTTATGGGATTGCCATATATGGCTAAAAGAAAGAGTCTGACTGTGATCAGAACCACGTCCTTAGGTAGTCACAAAGGAAGTTCTGGGTTTTGCAAGTCTTTGCACTTCCCTTTACAGAAACCTCTGCCTGCTAGTAACCAACTCCCTTCTATAAAAGGAGAAAGAAAGGGTGAATCTGATTATGGGTAAAGATTGTGATATGTGATACATTAAAAAATGTACTTACAGGTGGGATAAACACCTCCTGTCACAGTCTCTTACCTGAGAGGAAACATGTTGCCAAGATGCCGCCTCTATGTCTACAGCAAAACTGCAATGCCTAACTTTACTGAATTAAATTGCAGTATGTCTTGCATGTATATAGATCATAAAGATTACTCTGGGCTGTGGGCTAGATCCTGGTGACTGGAAGAAATGCACAACCCATAATGAGGGGAGAATATGAGTATGACGTTCTCCTAGGCTGCCCTAGCCTTGTCTTCCTTGAAATACTGTGGCATGTGTTTTGAGTGGGGGTTGGACCCAAGATCCTTTCCATCCTGTATTATTCTATGATTCAGAGCTGTTTCATGGGAAGAGCCAGGTGGAATTATTACATAGCTAGATCAAATAGTCCAAAGGTGGGATAATTCATGTGCAGAAACATTTTAGGGCTTATGTGTGGAGCACTACTGAAGATATGAGATGTTAACCATGCTGACTTCTGGACCCCACAGAAAACAAATTAAAACCAAGCTCTCTGGAGTGAGAAGAGATACTTTTGTTGTTTCCACTTTGGGAGAATTTGGAGGAAGACATTACTCTTCTGTTACTCAGATTTTTCTTTATAAAAAACCACTGCAAATTATCAGTTAGCCTAACTAAATACATAGTTTAACGATCAAAAATATCGAACTAGGACTTACTTTGTTGTTCTCAGAAGAAATTTACATAAAGAAAAAGCTGATTCCAATGTCTTTTACATGTCATCTTACTTTCAGTTTATTGAATGTAGGAAGTGCAGGGC